GCTTCATGATGGAACTCCCACAATCAATCAATTTGACGAGCATTCTCGTTTCTGTACTCATATTGGCAGCAACGTTTTGCTTCAAATGCGTCATCGACAGTCACCGGGCGCGTTTGTCTGACATCCCGGGTCCTTGGATTGCTCGGTACACAAACCTGTACGCGGTCTATTTAGCCTGGCGTACCGAACGGGGTTCATCGAAACTAAACATCTTGGACGATCTCCGAGACACATATGGCGATGTGATTCGCCTAGGACCTCGCTCGGTTACCGTGTTCGATCCTTTCGCCGTGCCAGTCATTTATGGTGTTCGATCTCGGCTCAACAAGGTTGATAAAGTCAACAATTGTATTGTTGGAAGAATTTGGAATTCTGATGCTAATGACTGCGAGTCTTTCAGGGTGAAGCATACATACCTTTCCGTCAATCCGGGGTGACGACAAGTCTCCTTAGTATTCAAGAGGAGACGATTCACTCACGATATCGGCGCCTGGTATCGAATGCTTATTCGATGACGTCGTTGAAAGCTTATGAGCCTTATGTTGATGAGCTCATCTCCAAGTTCATAAAAGTTTGTGAGGAACACGCTGAGAAGAAGCAGGTGCTGAATTTGAGCCGCTGGTGCTACAACTGTCAGCCCAATCCCTCTGTTTTCACTTGTTGAAGCTGAAAGGCTGACTCCAGTACGCGAATAGACTGCTTCGACGTCGTTGCGAAACTGTCTCTGGGCAAACCTCTCGGCTTTCTCGATGGATATGACACGTATGGTCTGTATGAAAAAGTCAAGCGATTTGGGGCATACGTCGCCATCGTCTCCCAAATGCCCTGGCTGCACAAGGTCGTCCAAGAACACTTCGTGATGAGGCGCTCGAGGCCATCGCCATTTCTCAAAGTTGTGTCCGAGACTGTCAACGAACGTGTCTACCAAGGCAAATCTGATACCCGACCGGACCTGTTGTCTTACTTCGTCTCCACGCATGAGCAACAGCCTCAGCTCATGACAACCAAGCAGGTCGCAATATCGGCCTCAGGGAACCTGATTGCCGGCAGTCTTAGCCCCGGGAAGACTTTCCACGAGATGTGCAAGTACCTGGCAAGCAACCCAGCCTCACAGGACAAGTTGTACGCGGAACTGAAAGAAGGTGGATGCGGATCGTTTCCGACTTTTGACGAAGTTCAGGAACTGCCGTACCTATTGGGTGTTGTCAAAGAAGCCTTACGTCTTCACAGCTCTGCCTCGTTCAATCTGCAGCGAGTCACTTCTTCGGCGGGTTTGCGGCTACCCAATGGCGTGTTTATTCCAGGACACATCAATATCGGCTGTCCAGCTTCTCAAATCAACCGGGACCGCCATGTGTTTGGTCAGGATGCCGATGTATACATCCCAGAAAGATGGATGAAGAGAACGGCGGAGACTGACGAGGAATATCTCGAAAGAAAGGGTTTTATGGAGAAGACGGAGCTCACTTTTGGGCAGGGATCGCGGACGTGCATTGGCAAGAATATATTTGCCTTGGAGGTGTACAAAGTCGTGGCTACCTTAGTGAGCCTCTACAAGGTGCGCACCGTCACTTACTTCTGGCTCTTGTAACATCTTCTGATATTGTGTTTTTGAAGTTTGAGAAAGTTGGAGGTCCAGGAGGCGAGGTCACCGTAAGATTGGCTCGCAGAGTTCAATGAACACGATGATCAGAAGAAGTAAATCCGGATGAAGTGGGCTTCGTTCTTCTGATCGTAATCGCCCCTGAACAGGGGCATATCAATGACTATGAGCTGGGTTACATTTATTCATGTTTTCAGCAATCGGAACCTTGAGGCGGTCTACTAGCTGCCATATTACACTGCCTGAATAGGCGAACCTCGTTCTCCGCGAAGGCCCCAACAATGGAGTGCATAACGCCATGGTTGTTGAAGAGAACGAGGTCACCCTCCTCCCAATCATGAGGATACACGTATTGCGGGCTGATTGCTGGTCGTTGCAGTCTGTAAATCAACTCTCTGACCTCTTTCAAGTCCTCCATTACCGTTCCATCCTTAAGATGGATCCTGCGCGCTGGCGTCGGGTACACCATCATAGCAAACTTTCCCGTTACCGGATTCTTCCATGCCATAGGGTATCTCCTGATCTTTTCCTCCTCAATCTCTGGGAGCTGGTCTTCAGACAGCTCTAGACCTTCTGAGAAAAGACCTAGGCCATTTGACCTCGCCTTCGCCTTGCTCATCCAGATGTACGGGTGTGGGCTGTACTCGATCGTGCTGGTCTTGACAAACTCCTGATCCTCCTCCGATAGTAATTCAAACATGCGGTATCCACTGATGAAAGCTGTCGTTCCCAAAGGTACTTCTAGCTCGTCTCCAGTCCCATCGTCGTAGCGACAGATCTGCCGCCGCCCCTTAGGTACCCTGCAAGCAAACAGCGATGTGACGAGAGGCGGGTCCAGGTTGTACATGGCCGAGTCAATGTGCCATCGGTAAAAGTGGGTATAGTCGTAGTCCTCAGCTTCCGGAACAGGATGCTTATGAAAGGTCTTGTGGTGAGGGTGGGTGAGCTTGAGATTCTCCAGTCCTTCGAACTCGACTACTGCGCCGTGGCCGATGACTTGCACTTGCGGCTGAGATGGCAGGGTGGTCAGATCCTTGTGGAGGACGCTGCGTTTGTCGATGCGGGAACCATGGCTGTATGTACTTGCTTCAGGGTCGAATAGGCGGGTGAGTTCGTATTGGGCTTTTGGTGAGAGGTTGTGCTGGCCTTTGATCAGGACAACGTTGTTGTTATAGAGAGCTTCTCTAATAACTTGAAAACTTTCATCTACGCATATGGTTAGCTTGATGAGTGTGTTTGCTTCTGGACACATATACTTACCATCGATGTGTTCGAGATCAATCCCCGAAAGTTCGGCTCCGAAATCGACAGCTGATTTCTCAAACGGCTTGGGAAGAGGGGAAATCTCAACTCCAACGGCTGCCATGATGAAAGTCAGGAAAAAGTAAGCGATGATTCGGGTTCGAGGAGTTGAGTTGAATATTCCCTGAAAGAGGGACACTTGGACTTCATCACCGTATATATATCAACCGAAACAAGCTTTCAGAGATGCATTTGGCTACTGCGGGCGAGTTGCACAAACTGGCCCGCCTCTCTGTGTGCCCGGAGATAATCGACGGGAACAGTGTTTGGACCATTCCTGTGACGTGCGGGTGACATGAAGGACTCGCCCGCATGCATCTCATTGCTTGGCCAATGAGAGACTGTGACAATACGATTACTACGCGTCACTGCGTGTTACATGACAGGAGAAGGACAGAACTGGCGATGCGGAAGAGCGTGTTCAACTCACCCGCTCCAAATTGGCAGAAAGTTTAAAGTCGTCGATGTAAAGGTAAGACTGGTTGGCTATAAGTTCATGCGGCTACCCGGGCTCATGAACAGTTCATCAACCAACAGACTCAATCAATTCTATTCTTTAGCCCTGTCAACTTCATCGTGTTGATCATACAGTTACAATGGGCAGCCTCACTTCCCCATCTCAAGGACTCTCCTTCAGGGAGCTCCCGACCTCCCTTCGTGAGTCTTCTTTGATTGGGGCCGAAGTTCACCTGCCCTCATCAATGGATGTCCTGGACGTAGACGCTTTGTCAGAAAAAGACCTCGAAACCTTCAGAAGAGCCCTGTTCGAAAACCAGGTCGTGGTCATCAAGAACCAGACGGGCATCGCGCCTGAGACTCTGCCTAAGCTGACCAAAGTCTTCGACCCGACTGCGACTGATATTCATTCTGCTGGCGAGAAGGCCGTTAGTGACCCCAGGAATATTCTTTCGGCATACAAAGCAGGAAGAATTCCAAGAGCACCGCAAGTGGGCATCATCGGCAGCGGCAAGTTTAAGAACTATGAAGGAGTTGAAGAGTTGGAGGTAATTCATCTGGTATGTCTGAAGCCTACCGTTGATCAGCTGATTAATTGAAATTTCGAAACCGCAAGCCATTGGCGATCTGAGCTAATAAAACCGGCCAGGATCATACTCTGTTCCATGAGAAGCCTCTGTCGGAGGAGGAGCTAAGCAATGGATATTCCCGACCATACCGGTGGCACATGGACACTCCCTTCTACCAGCGTTTGCCTGGCGAAGTCACCATCCTTCACGCGGTTAAGGTGCCGAACCTGCCTGATCAGAAACTCAAATTTCCAGACGGGAAAGAAAAGAGCATTGCTGCTGGATCCACAGCCTGTAAGTCTAGTGCTAAAATTCGCACTCTGAAGACGCATGATTGACCTTCCGTCAGTCTTCTCCGGGGCCCGGGCATTTCAATTGCTTACCCCGGCTGAGCAAGAGTTTGCTCTGAACACGACTGTAACATACGCTCCTCAAGCCTATGAATATATCAGACAATGCAAAGCGACGGAAGACGGATTGTCAATCCCAACAATGGGGAAAGAGGTTCCCATAGAGCAACTCTCTGAATGGTCTTGGGAAAATGTTGCTGAACATCCCGTAAGTCACTCAGTTCCATCTGGATTCTTCTCAATGTTGTACTGACAAGCCTCAGATGGTCTGGCGCAACCCGTTGAACCCCGACCGACCATTTCTCCAGGTTCATGGTTGCTGCGTATTCAAACTGACAACTCGGGATCCGGCGACGGGCGAAGTATCAGTCGTAGATGATGTCGCCAAAGTCCGCGAGATCGTCTACGGCTTCCAGAAGAGAATCTGGGCGGCAGAGAATATCTACGCTCACCGGTGGGAGGAAGGTGATGTCGTGATCTTTCACAATCGCGGCGTCATGCACAGCATCACGGGACAATTGTCTCAGTATAAGGAGGACGAGGAAAAGAAGAGACTGATGTGGCAGTGTACGATGACTAGTGGCACGGCGCCGCAGCCATTCAGAAAACAGCCCGGGGTTGTTGAGACTGGGTTCGCCAAGGCGGCATGAGCGACAGGATTATAGCTAGTCTGTACCCCACTAATTCAAGTCATAATAACTTGGTGTGTCTTTGATCGATTCAATCCTCTTCAAGAGCATCTATTTCTCCTTTCAATTTGAGATTGTCTCCCCTGAATAGAGCCGGTTCCCGGCGTCTACGGTCAACCTTCAGATCAAACACGTCTAGGCGTTGATACCCGCCAACCACATCGTGGTACTGCTTTCCCTCAACACAATCCCCAACATCTAAGTCTGCATACAAGATGCCTTCTTCGTGTTGCAAGAATTCTGACGGGGTTTCTCGGAGAGTTCCTTCTTCAATTGTAAACCCCGGCAATAATGCGCCTGTTGAGTCCAAGAACATGGTCGCGCCCCGTGGCGAATCTCTCAGCGCCTGGGAGACCACGTCTTCTTGTCTCGCCCCCGAAGAGACAGACTCAATTGCATCCTCGCCCAGGACTCCTGAGCAGAGAACACCAAAGCTTTTAGCCTCAAAGCAGTGTGCAGCCGCCCTCGTCCTGTTGGCAGCAACATTGTCGTAGTTGGCCCATTTAGCCACGCTTGATCCCACTCGAGAGCTTGTCTCCTTGGATTTCGGAACTCTCGTCGGCCATATCGCAGGCCATGTGGAGATGTGAATCTGCTCTCCCTGCGCCATGAGCGCATACCTCGCAAGCGGGTTTGTGTTCTCCCCGCAAATGAGATTCCCAATCTTCCCAAATCGCGTCTCTGCGACGCGCAGGCCGTAGCCATCTCCGGGCGCCCACGTCAACTTTTCGAAAAATGTTGGCATGAGTTTTCGGTGATGGACTAGGATCTCTCCGTCAGTACCGATGATGATGTTAGTATTAAAAAGCGTCGCGCTGCTGTAGCGAGCCTTTTCAGAAATGCCGACGCTAAGCAGTACATTGAGCTTCTTTGCCGTGGAGCGGAGAGCGTCTACCTCTTCGCCGTCGATGTGGACGGATTCCTGCACCATGGACTGGAAGAGGTCATGGTTCTCAAAGGGGGCGCGCAGGGAGGACCAGATCGGGAACGCTGGGATGTAGGTCTCTGGGAAGACAACGAGGTTTGCTTTGTTCCTGGATGCTTGGTCAATGAGGGAGATGGCCTTTTCGGTTGTGCGTCGCGCGGAGAGGAAAATAGGCGAGACGTGGCAGGCGGCAACTCGGATTGAGGTGAACATAGTCGCGGGGGAAAGCTGAGCTCGCGCAGGCTGGTCTAGAATGGTCAAGACACCGCACACCGAATTGTTGGCTCAATCAAATGCGACGCTACTAAGATACCTGATGATGGACGACGCTTGATTTTATTTAATGGCTCCAATTCGGTTGGCACGAGAAGTTGGAATGATGTGTCTATCTGTCGGGGCTTTTTCTGTTGCCGGCGGACCACAGATCCTTGTTCCGCTTTACTGATCTCACGCAACTAACTACACTCTTTAATAGTTGCATCTACCAATACCATCACGGCGTTCCCAAGCACAGCAGTTTTATAGGCCAATGCAACAACATCTCATCATTTGTTCTTTATCATTGGAAACATTCACGCGTGTCCCAATGTCCTCAATCATGCCAACTCACACTCGATCAAGCTCTCTACGCCTTCACCCGCTGACCAAATCTTGGCAATATTGAGACCAGCAGGTTCCAGAAGCTTGCGCCATTGCTCTTCTGTTCGCTCCCTGGAACTAAAGAGTGTCATCATCATCATATCCAGCGCCGTGGCCTGCCAACCAGCCCCCGTCGAGGGAATCGCATTCTCATTAATGAGGAGCTTGCTGTGACCCGGTTTCATTGCCGCAGTGACGCGCGACAAGATGCTCCTGCAAACATCATCCGTCCAGTCGTGTAAAACAGAGTGCATATAATAGGCTCTTGCGCCTTTGACGAGCTGCTCTGTGTGGAAATCGTACGACATGGGCTCAATCTTAGGGTCGACCTTCTGAACCTGAGATAGTACGTATTCAAGATCTTGGAGGACGTGTCGGCCCGGAGCAGTGAGATGCTTTCGACAGAATTCGTCTAGATCGTGGCCGATGCTACCGCCAATGTCGACCAGAAAAGCCGCCTCTGATGAACTGTCTGCGCCTTTGACAAGGCGCTCTGAAACAGGGACAAATCCATCATCCATCCAGGAAGGGCGTCCTTGCCTGTATCCGGCCATATGGTTCTGGAATTCTCCGGCGGGATGATTGGTCATCATATGCTTGAAGAAGTTGTTATCTTTACCGATGACATCCTTCATTGGCCCCTCTCTAGGGTCCGGCGAGATGGACCAGTCGTGCTTCTTGAGGTAGAGGGGGAAATTCGAGAACGTCGGCCAGCAACTTTCGACGCTAAGTGATGTGGCAGGATGGTCAGTCCATAGAAACGGTAGCACAACGAAGGAAAAGTGACTTGAAATAATCTTACAGACAAGGATATCCGCCGGCTATGATCGGTAAACTCAGCGACTTGGTGAAGTTTGTGCCGTCGTACTCATCCGGGCCAACTTCCTTGAGGTATCCCATTGAGCAGAGATGACACAGTGTGCGAGAAAGGACATCGATATCAAGAGCTTCGCCTAGATGATCCACGGTCTTCGGACCAGGGTTTTGGGCCAGGTACTGAAACAGGCCCGACTCAATGCCAATCGCAATGACGAAGGTCACAGCAGGCTGGATAAAACAACCAACGTGAGGGATGTTCTCAATTATTCTATGGGTATTTAGACTTCCTCGCGATTCCGATTTCAACTTTAGAAGTCTGTGATCAAACTAGGATTCATACACAAGCCGTCAGTCTTGGCACTACCTATCCATGGAACTGCCCTTTACGTTCTGAACCAGCCAATGCCGATTTTCACTAATATTGGAATCTCCATCTAGGGTCCTTGTCACCGGGCCAATCCTCCAAGTCCCCAATTGCTTGAACTTCCGGTGCAATAGCCTCGCGTCTCTTATTCTCACCCTTCAACACAAAGTATAAGATACCACAGACGATGATATTCGCCAAAAGATACCCCAAAGCGAAAGAGTGGCCGACAATGTACCTCGGACCATCATTGGCACGATACAACTGTGTTCCCAACACGGCTCCCAAATTTCCAATGGTGATTTGCATTGCGTTGCCTACAGCACGCTTGGTCTGCCCAGAGACATTGATGGCCGGCCACGAGAGGACGAGAGCGGTGGCGGGGTAGATTCCCGCAGCTGCGAAGAAGGTTCCGAGATACGAGACGCCAGGCTTCCCCGCGGGGTCGGAGTTGGCTAAAAGAATGATGTAACCAATCGCCGCGACCGTGGATGATCCCATGATGAAGAAGGCACGGCGGCCGGTGCGTTCGGAGTAAATCGCGACGGTCAATGTTGTGACAAAGGCGACGGCGTAAGGAGGGATAGTGAGCAGTTGGGCGACGGCCGCGGTGTACCCGAGGTTCTTAATGATGGTAGGCTAGGCGAAGTCAGTGAGATGGTCCACTAAGTTTGTGAGAGTAACTCACAATGAACAAAGAAAACGTGTATAGCGGCAAGCTCATGGTGTGGAAACCAAGACCGTACAACCAGCACTTTGGGTCCTTGATAGCATCCATCACATTACTCCACGAGAACTTCTCGTTATGCGTGGCATCGCTGTCGGAAGCTAATCTGGCCCTGATAAAGCGGCGCTCCTTTTCAGAAACAAATTTGGCCGTGTCGGGGTAGTTTTGGATGAACCAGTATGCGCCGACAGCAATGACCACGGTTGCGATACCCTCCTATCAGATTGTCAGGCAACGTTTCTTGATTTTCGATGGGAAGGTCACAAACCAAGATAAAGATCCATCTCCAGCCATTGTCCCATACAACTCTCATGTGTCCGATTCCCCATGCTAGGATACCGCCGAACGCACCGGCAAGAGAGGCAGCGCTGAAGAAGAGGGAAATGCGGAACTGTCTCTCGCGACGCTTATACCTGAGGAAGTTCAGGTCAGAACTATGCCATCCTTAAGCTCCTGGCCCATTGGAACCTACCACATCGAGAAGTAGTATACCACTCCAGGAAAGAGACCGCTCTCAGTGACACCGAGGAAGAAGCGGGCGACAAAGAATCCGGCCATATTAGTGACGATTCCCATGAGCGTCGCGACAATGCCCCATGCGATAGTCAGTGTCGGAAGCCAAAAGCGTGGAGTGGTCCTTTTCAAGATGATGTTGCATGGAATCTGGAACGTTTAGCATTGCACGAACACATGTCTCTTCGGAACATTGTTGTGGAAGCACTTACTTCAAAGAGAACATAACCGATAAAGTATAGAGTTAGACCAGTCAAATACTGGTTACCACCTGCCAAGTATCAGCTACACCGGTTCGGTCTTGACTGAGTCTGTCTGGTTGAAGAAGCATACTCATGTTGAGATCGGTAGTAAGGCCTTCAATTCGAGCATTGCCAACTACGTAGATATTAGTAGATTGTCTCGCAGCAGGGTTTTCTGGAGAATCTCACCATTAGATCGGTCGAGGAATGAGAGAAGGTACAAAATGCCCACCGCCGGCAGAAGCTTGAGATCAAGCTTCCTCAACAGCGACTTCTCATTGACTACATCCTGCTCAAGCTCAACTTCGGACGGGCTATCCGTCCCGCTGATATCATTCGCCGGCATATCTAGCGCCTTCTCGGGCGGAGGATTCTTTGGCGCGCTCATCGTAGGTTGCTGATATTGTGAATTCTCAGATTCTCTCCCTAGCGCTTGTGGCTATTTTGTTTGCCTCAATGTTGGAAGAAGGTGAGGTCCCAACTTCACTCGGTACCAGAAACACCCGCGCTTGTCCGGCTGAAGTCGAGTTTCTAAGGTCGTTTGCGTGTTTGGAAAAGAAACTCTGCGGCCACGCGCACGGCTTATCAATGCGGACCCCAAAAGACCCGGACCAAGCTGTCGGAGCAGACCTCTGCACGAGGAAAAATGAGATTGGCGAGTAGATTGCTCGAGTGGGCTGGTTTCCTTTCCATCTCCGGGAGTATTGCCTCGTTTAGAGCTTTCAGCTACTTGTCGTCCATTTTGACAGCAGTTTCTGAGTGTCGTTTTCCCAGGGCCCGCATGGCATCATCAGTCAATGATGACATTTTCCCGGGGCACCATTCCTGTAATTGCGTAGATGCCGTTGCAGGTCACCACTGCCGGGTGGATGGCGCCAGTGGAGGTGGATGGTGAAATTCGTTTGCAAGTTGTGTGATTGGCTCATTTGAATCACCTCATGTTGAAGTCGATGGCGACATCGCCGACTGGGTCTTTTTGCTTTCTCCAACGGCCCCCAATATGGCAAGTGTGTAATCAGTACCTTGAGCATTTCCTTTTTAAAGTGCCTTGGCGCTGCTTGGCAACTTTAGAAATGAACCCCCCACGGCCCGTCGATTCAGCTAAAAAAAATCTTGTTTCTCCGCGCATCTAACGCTAGACCGCGGCTTGCATCTGCGGTTTCGGGCGATTATTCGATAATGGCGACTTCCATCCGACCTTACGGTGCCGATCGGTCGGCAATACGGCTCCGCTCAAGAATCCGTCGTTCCACTTTTTCTCCGATTCCCGATCTCGGCCCTTTCCGATAGCAGTCGGCGGATGGTTGCGACCTCGCAGACGGAATCGGAAGTAGTCTCACTTCTTTTCAACAGATCCGATTCTTTTCGTTTGAGCTGCCTGTAATCCTTTTGAAGGTGACTGTCTAGAATCAGCTCCTGCCAACCAGCTAGTGGCTGAAGTGATTGCTCAAGTCTCTCAGCGATGGTTTCTGAGGTCAGTATTAGAAAGGCATAGGTCACAGAATGGCACTGGAAAAGTTTCCCAACTCGAGTCTATTTTGCTGCCTACTATACAGTATCCTTTTTTTTTTCCTTTTTCTGTTGTTCCTTTTCTATATCCAAACGAATGACTGTTCCGAAAAATCGAGCTAAGAAAAAGTGCATACCAAAAGAGTGTTCTATCCATGACCAACCAGAAAAACCATTCATTCATTCACAAGCGTCTGTTGTACCCCATTCACCCAAAGATCGAAGTCCCAAGAGGGGGATTGTCGAGTTTTCCGTTCCGATGTATACAAAGCAGAAGTCGTCGTGGCCAACCACGCTATGAGAGAGAGTAGAAGAGTAAAGCACTACCTTCTGAGCCAACTCGCCGATTCGAGCCGCGTCAAGCGAAGGCACGCCGTGGAATGTATCGTGATGCTATGCACGTGTGTGCATTTAGCAGCCAATGTCGAAGGCGACGAAGGTCTGACCGTTGGTAGGAGCGGGCAGGCTGGAAGCCGGGACGTTGAAGAGGCGGCACTGGACCGGCTCGTTGGCGGAGGGCTTGCCGAACTCGATGGCCTGGCATCCAGTGGTCTGCTTGCAGAGAGCCAAGCAGGCGTCCTGGGTGGTGATGTCCTCACGGCTCAGGAGAGGGGTGGGGCTGCTGGTCGCGGGGCCGGCGGGGGCGGCGCCGCAGACGTTGGCACGCTTCTTGGGCTGCTGGCTACCGTTGCTGTTGTTGCTGCCAGTGTTGGCGTTGCCGGTGTTGGCACCTGTGTTGGAGCCTGTGTTGCCGTTGTTGGCGCCGGTGTTGGTCTGGGTAGGAGCAACGGTGGGGACGCTGGTGCAAGCCTTGTCAAAGACCATCAAGTTGGTGTTGGACTGCTTGGGAACCTGAGAAGCCGGGACGGCGTAGAGGTAGCAGAGAGGGGTGGTGCCGGAGGGGGGAAGGCCGAAGACGAAGGACTGGCAGCCAGAGTCGGCCTCGCAAAGCTTCTGGCAGGCGTCCGCGGTGGCGGCGGCGGGCTGGGAGCGGGGCTCGACACTGGCGGTGGTAGGGCCGGAGGGGGCGGAGTTGCAGACATCGCGGATGGCGAGGGGACCGGCCTGAGCGGCGGCGGCGAAGGCAATGATGGTGGCGATGGTGAACTGCATTTTGATTGTTGGGGGTGGTTGGTAGTGGTTCTTGAAAAAGAAGTGTGAAGACTGAAGTGTAGTAGAGCGAAAGTGGTGCTGAGAAAGCGAAAGATGGAAGAGTGAGAGATGCTTGAGAGTGATTGAAGATTGAACTGGTTGTTGGTGGTGAGGAGAAAGAGAAAGGTTTTGATTTGGACGGGACAAAGGTCTTCTTTCATGGTCAAGTTGAGCTCTGCGTTTCGAAGGCTTCTCAACTCCCTTTCCTGAGCCTGACTAGACACTCGACTGACGATCTACGATAGACTGGGTACGTCAATGGAGAGTCTTACGACGCATTGCACGAGCGTCTTACACAGCCAGTCTCCGGAACGCGTGGTGGGTGAAAGTTGATGATCGACGTCCCGGATGTCACTCTGTCGACGTTGATGCCCTCGTCATCGCCGGGCTGGGTCCAAGGAACGGCCTTCGAGAACCAGTGAGAAGGTCTCTTGCCGTCCCATGTTCGCTTCGCTAACAGACTTTGGCAGTATGTTTGGCCATACCACAGCCTCATGAGATGGCAGGTTTAACCCGCGATGTGGGCGAACAACCTGGACGTTTCAAACCGTTCGTCCGAGGCATCTTCATGCGATCGAAACTCTCCTATTGTCCCTACTGGCTGGATGTTCCCAAGTTGAGAGCTGATGTAGAGACAACAAGGTCTCCTACGCTTGGACCCTGCGACGGCTGAGGCTTGATGAGCCGGGGCGAGACCGAGGTCGGCGCCTCCTTGGAACTTTTCGGGACTCCTTGAGGCTCTTTGGGACACACTCAAGAGTCTCGAGCTTCATGAGCAGACAGGCGCTCGGGAAAGTAGCAGAGAGGGGGATTCCCGATAACGTAACAAGCGAGCGTTCCATCATGCACAGTCACAGATCTGACGTTACGGTTCACAAGCCACTCCCGACGTGGGGAACACCAAAAAGCTTCGATGCCAAGCATGAGGCTTAATGCCCAAAGAAGCTAGAAAATAATAAGCCCTGCCGGGCTGCCGTCAACGGGGCGCTGCAACACAACTGGCAAACTGCGTACGTACCAGATGGCAACACCCAGATAGGTAACAACATGGCCGGGGATGTGCAAAGAAAGGACGTGGATACCCCTGCATCACATCTGCCCAAGCTTTGCGGTTCCCGACGCTCTAAATCCCCCACATTCCAGAAGAGTGCCATTCCGGGAAGCCGATTCAGGGGGTGACGGTGCGGGTTCAGGGGTAAAATCCCGCCGCTACAAAGAAGCTTCCCCTTCTTTTCGACTCTCTTGAGGCTTGACGAGCCCTGATTTGCGTGGGTACCCCCTCAAGCCTCAAGTGAAGTGGGTAAACATCGTAAGGCATTCCGGTGCTGATGCCCCAACAAAGCCTGTGAGACCGGACAACGCTCCCAATTCAGCAGCTTCCAGTCCCTGGAACACTTTGCTGCAGCGTTTGGCGAGAGAGAATACCATTCCGAAAATATGCTTGCAATTTCCCCTTGATTCTTTTTGGTTGGGGCTCTTTGATTCCTGTGAGGCTGAGGCCCTGAAAGAGGGGGGAAAACTGACCTTACGCATATTGCAGACGTAGAGCCCTGTCTATAGTGCTAAACAACTATGATAACTATAGATAATAATAAGTGCGGGTGCGACGGCACGACGTTCTGTTCTTGACCGCGTTGGCGTTGGGGGCTGAAGTTGGCCTGTTTGACTTTGACTGCCCTCCTCTACAATGCTCCAATACTGCCAACCTCGTGACTTACGAGCATGACCTAGGGCTGCTGATGATGACGAAGCCATCCTTGGGTGCTGAAAAAGTTTCCAACAAAGGTCGGATAGACGGCACACCGTACACGTGGGATTATACTCAACAACCTTACTCTGTGAGTTATTACTGAGAGAGGAGTGGGAAACATAGTTGCGTCGTCATCAGCATCGAAATAAACCAAAATAGACATTTCGAAGTGTATACAAAGTTTTTGCGACTTAGCCGGAGGTAAGTCAACATACCCACTTCCTGGCACCCCCCTGTTTCTGGCACCACAAAAACGATGGGATCACAACCCAACCTCCTCATTACTATTAACTATTGATCCTCAACCACACCCACTACAATACAGCTGCCAGCCTCACTAGGGCATTCAGAGTCGCTGGATTCAGCCGTGATAACCTCCTTTTCACCCGCTTCGATTTGAGCCCGATGGATATCCCTGATGTTCGCGAACTTCGTATTGGGATCG